GGAGAAGACAAGGGTAAGGTCTGTTATTCACAGGGTCACTATGAGTCATATTGGACCCAAAGGCACCTAACAACAACAACAACAAGCAACTTAACCAAACTATGTGAGAAATAGTTTCATTCACCATCCTTGCCTCCAAGGAGAACTCTGGGTGCACTTTTTCCAAGACATATATCTGTTTATTCTTTCGGAAGTTCATGGGATATTCAGTGCTCTTGTACAAAACCATAAATCAAAGACATCCATTCTTTTTTTTTAGGATGACTATCTTTTTTATTATTATTAATGTTAATGAAAATTTAGAGACTTTGGATTTCCATTCATTCATTGTTGCACTTTTTTAAATTATGAGGGAGAAAACTGTTTAAAAGGGATATATGATCAGGTATTACTGTCATGACAGGAGTCCAGAATGAAGGCTGCAAAGTGGAGTGGACTTGGTGGGAGGGATTGTATAACAATGAAAGAATACCAAATCATATATCCCTTTTAAACAGTTCTCTCCCTCATCTGTTTCAATGCAGTACATAATTTAACACATCTTTCTCAATCTGCCCCCAAACACAATGTCAGTCCTGTTTTACAACAGTGGCTCTATGCAGTATTTTTCCTTTTGTGACAGAGATATTTCACTCAGCATAATATCCTCCAGGGTCACCCATTTTGAATATTTCATGAGTTTCTTGTTTTCAATGCAGCATAGTATTCTATTGTGTGAATATACCACAGCTTCTATACCCATTTGTTTTGGGATGGGCACTTAGGTTGTTTCCAGCTCTTTGCTCTTGTGAACAAAGCAGCGATAAGCATGGGTGTGGATATATCTGCTTGAGTGGCGGTTATGGTTTCTTTGGGGTATATTCCCAGTAGTGGAATTGCTAGGTCAAGTGGTATTTCTATTTCCAACTTTTTGAGAAAGCGCCAAACCACCTTCCACAATGGTTGCACCATTTTACACTTCTACCAATGAAGGTCGCAGTTTCTCCACAACCTCGCCAGCATTTGTTGCCTGCTGTTCTGTTAAATTTTGCTATTCTTATTGGGGTGAGATAATTTCTCATAGTTGTTTTGAAAAGACATCAATTCTTATCTCATCTGCCCAGCTGTCAGATGCATAAAACGTTGCTGTTATGTGCTGTCAAGTCGCTTGCAACTCATAGCGACCCTATGTACAACAGCCCTAAACTCTGCTCTGTCCTGTACCAATCGCACTGCCTCTGACACACCCATCCCAATTACCCCAGTCACTGAATCAATCCACCTCATAGAGAGCCCCTCCTGCGCTGTCCCTCCACCCTCCCAAGCATGATGTCCCTCTCCAAGGACCAGTTCCTCCTTACATGTACAAAGTATGTTAGACAGAGACTCAGAATCCTTGCCTCCAGGGAGCCACCCAGTTTAACCCTTTACAGGATGAATCTCTTTGTTTTCCTAGCAGTCCATGGTACCCTCAGTATGCTTCTCCAGCACCACAGCTCAAAGGCATCAATTCTCCTTTTTTCCTCCTTAGTCACTGTCTAACTCTCTGATGTATAACAAATGATAGCAAAGACCATGGCCTGTATCAGATGCACCTTAGTCTCCAGAGAGATACCATTGCTCTTGAGTACTTTGAAGAGGTCCCTAACAGCAGACTTCCCCATC